AGACTGTCTGTAGACACTTGTTTAAGGGAGCATTGACCTGTAAACAGACTGTCTGTAGACACTTGTTTAAGGGAGTATTGACCTGTAAACAGACCGTCTGTAGACACTTGTTTAAGGGAGTAATGACCTGTAAACAGACCGTCTGTAGACACTTGTTTAAGGGAGTATTGACCTGTAAACAGACTGTCTGTAGACACTTGTTTAAGGGAGTATTGACCTGTAAACAGACTTCTACTATTCCATGACACATGGATGATTTTGGATGAAAGTGCAAACATCCTACTTATCATATAAACCGTGTCATTTCAGCTGCCTTTTAAAAATTAAAGATTCTTGATGTAATCATCTTATGTATGAACACACATCTCCCTTCATCATATGTTAACCCTTTCACCACTGTAGACCGTAATAGACTCATCCTGATCAATGCGTAGAAGAGTTTACTAAAGTTACATAGGGGTGGAAGGGTTTAACTAATATGTCATTTCTTTTCATATAGTCCTAATTGACATCAAATGTCTGTATTATCACACTTTGAATACCATCTTCAAATACAATGTACTTAATAGTACAAGGAGATTATTGAAGTACTGTTGATGGTAAGTGTAGTAACATGTAATGGTAAATCAGATTCACTATAGAAATGGTGATGTGATGTACATTAATAATACTCTTCTTTTTTTAACATTATTGATCTGGGTAAAAAGATAGCTGATTTGATGTTATCATTTGTAGCTTTGCAATGCTATCACTAATGCTCTCCATGACTGTGTCTTTCCTTGCCAAGAACGTTTGACATGGATGGCAGCAGTGCTGTGGCCCCTGTCTGAGGATGTGTTGAGAAATTCCAGCAGCCATGACAGACAAGACACATAACCTTTTAGACTGAATTTCTTTAGCATGTGTCAGAGTTAGAATGGTTTCTGTCACCATTCATATTTAGTGGGCAATCAGTCACAGTACTAGAGTATGTTTGAAGGTTTTAGCGTGCTACTTAAGGATGTCTGATGGCAATAGTGTGTGTTTCATAGATGTTATGTACTTTGAAGGATGATGTTTGATGCCAGTGATGTATGTTTGATGCCAGTGATGTATGTTTGATGCCAGTGATGTATGTTTGACGCCAGTGATGTATGTCTGACGCCAGTGATTTATGTTTGATGCCAGTGATGTATGTTTGACGCCAGTGGTGTATGATTCGTGGCAATGATGTATGATTCGTGGCATGATGTATGATTCGTGGTAATGATGTATGATTCGTGGCAGTGGTGTATGATTCGTGGCAATGATGTATGATTCGTAGCAGTGGTGTATGATTCGTGGTAATGATGTATGATTCATGGCCGTGGTGTATGATTCGTGGCAGTGATGTATGTTTGACGCCAGTGGTGTATGATTCGTGGCATTGGTGTATGTTTCATGGTAATGATGTATGGTTTGTAGCATTGGTGTATGTTTCGTGGTAATGATGTATGATCTTGGTAATGATGTATGATTCGTGGCCGTGATGTATGTTTGACGCCAGTGCTGAATGATTCATGGCATTGGTATATGATTCGTGGCATTGGTGTATGTTTTGTGGCAGTGATGTATGATTCGTGGCATTGGTGTATGCTTTGTGGCAGTGATGTATGATTCGTGGCATTGGTGTATGATTTGTGGCAGTGATGTATGATTCGTGGCATTGGTGTATGATTCGTGGTAATGATGCATGATTCGTGGCAGTGGTGTATGATTCGTGGTAATGATGTATGATTCGTGGCAATGATGTATGATTCGTGGCCGTGGTGTATGATTCGTGGCAGTGATGTATGTTTGACGCCAGTGGTGTATGATTCGTGGCATTGGTGTATGTTTCATGGTAATGATGTATGGTTTGTAGCATTGGTGTATGTTTCGTGGTAATGATGTATGATCTTGGTAATGATGTATGATTCGTGGCCGTGATGTATGTTTGACGCCAGTGCTGAATGATTCATGGCATTGGTATATGATTCGTGGCATTGGTGTATGTTTTGTGGCAGTGATGTATGATTCGTGGCATTGGTGTATGCTTTGTGGCAGTGATGTATGATTCGTGGCATTGGTGTATGATTTGTGGCAGTGATGTATGATTCGTGGCATTGGTGTATGATTCGTGGTAATGATGCATGATTCGTGGCAGTGGTGTATGATTCGTGGTAATGATGTATGATTCGTGGCAGTGGTGTATGATTCATGGTAATGATGTATGATTCGTGGCATTTGTGTGTGTTTCAGGACTGTATTTAGTATTGTATCGTTGAAAGATGGAGATATTTGAAGTCGTTAATTTTTTGGTCAAAAAACCTTGTGAGCTTATATATACAGCACGGTGCAGCATCTATCTGTCATCCAACAAAATAGTATTTAACATGTTAAAACGGCCCTATATGCCTGTTGTTCTGTCACACTAGTGCCACACTACAGAGTGGTATTAGTGATGCCTGATGACAGTGGTTTATATGTCAGTGTCACACTACAAAGTGGTATTGGTGATGCCTGATGACAGTGGTATATATGTCAGTGTCACACTACAGAGTGGTATTGGTGATTCCTGATGACAGTGGTATATGTCAGTGTGGCACTACAGAGTGCTATTGGTGATGCCTGATGACAGTGGTATATATGTCAGTGTCACACTACAGAGTGGTATTAGTTGTGCCTGATGACAGTGGTATATATGTCAGTGTCACACTACGAGTGGTATTAGTGATGCCTGATGACAATGGTATATATGTCAGTGTCACACTACAGAGTGGTATTAGTGATGCCTGATTACAGTGGTATATATGTCAGTGTCACACTACAGAGTGGTATTGGTGATGCCTGCTGACAGTGGTATATATGTCAGTGTCACACTACGAGTGGTATTAGTGATGCCTGATGACAATGGTATATATGTCAGTGTCACACTACAGAGTGGAATTGGTGATGCCTGATGACAGTGGTATATATGTTAGTGTCACACTACAGAGTGGTATTGGTGATGCATGATGGCTGGAAATATGTCAGTGTCACACTACAGAGTGGTATTGGCGATGCCTGATGACAGTGGTATACATGTCAGTGTCACACTACAGAGTGGTATTGGTGATGCCTGATGACAGTGGTATATATGTCACTGTCACACTACAGAGTGGTATTAGTGATGCCTGATGACAGTGGTATATATGTCAGTGTCACACTACACACACTACAGAGTGGTATTGGGGATGCCTGATGTCAGTGGTATATATGTCAGTGTCACAATACAGAGTGGTATTGGTGATGCCTGATGACAGTGGTATACATGTCAGTGTCACACTACAGAGTGGTATTGGTGATGCCTGATGTCAGTGGTATATATGTCAGTGTCACACTACACACACTACAGAGTGGTATTGGTGATGCCTGATGGCAGTGGTATATATGTCAGTGTCACACTACAGAGGGGTATTGGTGATGCCTGATGACAGTGGTATACATGTCAGTGTCACACTACAGATTGGTATTGGTGATGCCTGATGTCAGTGGTATATATGTCAGTGTCACGCTACAGAATGGTATTGGTGATGCCTGATGACAGTAGTATATATGTCAGTGTCTCTCTACAGAGTGGTATTGGTGATGCCTGATGACAGTGGTATATATGTCAGTGTCGCACTACAAAGTGGTATTGGTGATGCCTGATGACAATGGTATATATGTCAGTGTCACACTACAGAGTGGTATTGGTGATGCCTTATGACAGTGGTTTATATGTCAGTGTCACACTACACACACTACAGAGTGGTATTGGTGATGCCTGATGACTGGTTTATATGTCAGTGTCACACTACAGAGTGGTATTGGTGATGCCTGATGACTGGTTTATATGTCAGTGTCACACTACAGAGTGGTATTAGTGATGCCTGATGACAATGGTATATATGTCAGTGTCACAATACAGAGTGGTAATGGTGATGCCTGATTACAGTGGTATATATGTCAGTGTCACACTACAGAGTGGTAATGGTGATGCCTGATGACAGTGGTATATATATCAGTGTCTCAGTACAGAGTGGTATTGGTGATGCCTGATGACAGTGGTATATATGTATTCAGGCCAGTGATCCTCCCCACTCACAGCTCTACACATGATCTACCACTTGTGTCGTTGACAAGAGCTGACCACTTGATTACAAAAATTGACACCTTGATTACTGTTGGGTGTTCGTTTAATGTTACCGTGTCTTGTTGAGCAGTGAACATGCGGACAACAAGGTAACAATTGACTACTCCATCTCTCACTGTGACATTGATCCAGGCGGTTTTCTTTCTTTGCTTCCCTCACTCTTAGCATAGGCAGCTTCCATAGCACCGGGTTTTATTGATCAGGAGCATCACGTTTAGAGCTGGGCCTATGTATTACCATTACAGACCAAGTGTTGGTACCTACTTGGTCCTCCATTCTGGCACACGCATGCTAGCTCCAACATTAACGTGTCGTGCCCATCCGGGAGTGTAAGGGAACATATGGTCAGCATCAGTACATACTGTGATTTTCTGGTACCCCGAATACGTCACAGGCCAGTGATTGTTTGTACTACCATCAAGGGATTCCGTCAAAGGACAGATTCCACACACGCCATATCGCCTTGCTGTCTCGAGACTCCCAGAGTTGTGATATGCTGGCTTGACTGAGGATACATTTGACACCTTCTCTCCATCAGGACTCAAGGATTAACCTGTTCATAGGAATTATGTGATTGGGTAATACAATCCGGCTCCTGCTACAGCTGAACCTTGACACTGTTACTGATATGCTTACTACAAGCCATTTAACTTGTGTGGGAAGTAATTAATACCAAATAGTTCTCAATACTATTTCTCTGTCATTTGAAAGACAGCCACTCAGCTGGTGAATGCATTGCATGGAAGATGATGACAAAAGCAAGTTGGTGAATTTGTTGCTCACATAAAGTGATGACAAAAGCAAGAAAGTATTTTTTTTATAAGTGATGACAGAACTACGACGGCGCCGCCCCCCTCGTCACAAGACAGGGGGGTCTCGGAATGGTTACACAAAGGGGCTCGGCTCTTCCCAGTCAGGGAAGGACAGCTTTGTTGTGATGGGGATACCCCTCCAACAGTTAATCATTAACGGATTAGGAATTTTGGTGTGTCTCTACATTGGCTACAAACATGCTCTGTACATGCGGACCATACATGAGAACCACATGTGGTTCACCAACATTAAGGTAACCACACTCGCTTTGGCGACTTCCTATACCTGATCATTTTACTTATGATATTTCTAATAGATAACTGTTAATTGTTCTATCTTTGCCATTTTGTTTGTCCATTTTTAAATTCATGATAACTTGATATTCATATTTGATACTGAAAATCTGAGCTTTATTATTCTCCGAAAAACATACATTAACAAATTAAAAAAAAAAATCACTGATCGTCAGTACGTCAGTATGTACAGTAGTGTAAGGATGTTCACTGATTGTCAGTAAGTCAGTGTATAGAGTAGTGTAAGGATGTTCACTGATTGTCAGTATGTACAGTAGTGTAATGATGTTCACTGATTGTCAGTAAGTCAGTGTGTACAGTAGTGTAAGAATGTAAACTGATTGTCAGTAAGTCAGTGTGTTAGGTAGTGTAAGAATGTTAACTGATTGTCAGTAAGTCATGGTGTTTAGTAGCGAAAGGATATATTTAACAAAACCCTAAATTACACAGAAAATTAGTTGGTTTAGGACTAATGATCAAGTTTGATGAGTTATTAAACCAAGTTTTGTCTAGGTGATGTATATTTTCTTTTTTATTGACTGTGGTTAGACTCTGCTTTTAGATCTATTTCTTTATTTAGATACTTCATTCAGCTGCATTTCCATTTTCTAGTTGTTTAGAATAGAGTTTTACAAAATTGATTGTTTCTTTGCTTTTAAGATAATATGTCAGAGGCAAATGTAAAGGAAATGTGAAGATGGAAATCATTCCTTTTGAGAAAAAATAATGTGCACCTTCCGGTAAAAGGCTCGGCTGGACTGGTGACTTTGTCATCAGTTTTGTAGTGATGATGAAATACTGGTAAATCCTAACGTGGCTGTTGATTCATGCTGTGTCACATCAAACGGGAAAAATAACGATCACAGAATTTAGTTCTAAAGATATCTCCTGCAAGATTGGTTTGTTTATGTTTTACGTCCTATGAACAGCTATGGTCATTTAATGATGTGCCAGGTTTTGGTGGTGGAGAAAAGCCGGAGTTCCCAGAGAAAAAACACTGACCTATGGCCAGTGCCTGGCCACTGCTCCATGTAGGTCTTGAACCCGTGACCCAGTGGTGGAGGGCTAGTGGTAGCAGAATTTTGTTTGGATGAAATATTTTTGAGATATATTTATGACCATTATAAAATGTTGAAATGCCAGCAAAAAGTTGTTGGTTTGAAGTAAAGATATTATAAAGTTAATTCTGTAATCAGTTTCAGGTACTGACATTTACAAGCAATAGAAACATTAATTGGTGACATCAGAGTGATCTCTATATAGATCATGTGACCCTTAAGGGATTCATCCCTGCAATTTCATAATGAACTATTCCAACCTTTGAATTGGAAGAGTTCAAATTTAAATGTGACTTCAGGGGTAAATGAGTTATTCTTCCATTTGTATAATTTTATTTCATGATTAATCTCTCAAATGGTATTGTAGTAACATTTTTGTTTTTATAAGTCCAAAGGAACAGTAAGTTAAGTGATTTACCAGTCCTTGCTAAAATCTTCTAGTCTTGGCCTATAGACAAGTTCTAGTGTTGAACCCTGATTTGGTGATTCATTTTGGATACCTTTACGTTATTTTATGTTATTTTTGACGTTATATAAAGAATAATCATGAATAAAAAACCTTATATATTTACTGTGTATAAATATTGTAGCATCGGAAATGAAAGAAGCTATAAATAGGCCTTTGGCTGTGGCCCAAATCCTATTGTTTAAGACGATGAAATTCCTTACAACGAAAAGGAATTGGCTTAGGACAAGGGACAGTTATGACCTTATGGAGGACAGTAGGCTACATTCACGGCCTTTCTGACAGAAATGATAATCAAACACTTTTACAGAGTCCAAACATCCCTTGTGATACCCCAAACATGATGGTGTTAGCCGAGTTTGTATGGTCAGAAGATATTACATGTGCCGAGTTTGTATGGTCAGAAGATATTACCGTACATGTGCCGAGTTTGTATGGTCAGAAGATATTACATGTGCCGAGTTGGTATGGTCAGAAGATATTACATGTTATGTTCTAGGTGAGAAGGAACTGTAGCAATTAGTTGAGCCCAGGAAGTAGAGAGATTGAAAGCCCTGTTTAACAGTATCCATTTGTCCTATACTGATCAGCAATGTCCCCATTGAGAACACCAACTTCCTTCTGTTATGGCTTTCTTCACCAATTAATGGTTGGTTCTTCCTTTCTTATTCATCATTTAACAAAAACGGTGTTGTCATTGGCATACAAACCAGACAGGGAGAGGCATGAACAAAACCAACATTTTATCTGGTAATCATTTCAAGCAAGGTGCATAAAAAGTTTGGCTTTTGGCATTTCCATGGAAGCCTATTAAGCATGTTGTTCGCTGGTGTTTAATGGTTAATGTGGCACAGTGATCCAGAAGGAGAAATGCTAGATGTCTGTTTTCCTGGCACCCAATATCAGGATTTCTTGTAGTCATGGAGACTAAGTTCTATGTAAAATGTTACTGCTGTAGTTTTTTTTTATTTGACTATTGTATTGTTTGTTTGATAGATGTCTTGAAGAGAGTTTATTTTGACAGGTAGACTGGGTAATTTTGATTATTAGACTAGTAAATGTTTCACATCATAGCTTCTGTGGAATATTTATTTTACCTCTACCAGGGGCAGGTACTTTGGGACTAAAGGCTTGCGTGTAGTCTGTCTGTCAATATTTCTGTAGGCCCATCTTATTCATGTCCAGACTATAGCTTTTGATTGGTAAAATTTATTAGATGAAATATGGGTACGGACACCATATCCTTGGTAGCTACAGACACCTTATCCTTGGTAGCTACAGACACTCTATCCTAGGTAGCTACAGACACTCTATCCTAGGTAGCTACAGACACCCTATCCTTGGTACCTACAGAAACCCTATCCTTGGTAGCTACAGACACCCTATCCTTGGTACCTACAGACACTCTATCCTAGGTAGCTACAGACACTCTATCCTAGGTACCTACAGACACTCTTTCCTTGGTAGCTACAGACACTCTATCCTTGGTAGCTACAGACACCCTATCCTAGGTAGCTACAGACACTTTATCCTTGGTAGCTACAGACACCCTATCCTAGGTAGCTACAGACACCCTATCCTTGGTAGCTACAGACACCCTATCCTTGGTACCTACAGACAC